ACACAAGTCCATATAACAAGTTCACAAACATATTGGAATTTAATGTATGAAAATCTGTRCTATGGTTTGGGTATGGTTTGCCTCTACTTCCCAAGAGTCTTGTGCTGAGAGCTGGATCCCCAATATTGTGATGTTAAGAAGTAGTAAAACCTTTAAGAGGCAGAGCCTAGAGGTCATTTTTGCTCATACCTTTGTTTCTTTGATTTCCTATCTCACCATGTGATTTCTCACTCCCTCAGCTTCCCAACATTGGGATGCCATCCACCATTAGGCCTTCAGCAGAGTTGAACAGAACCAGCATCATGCTCTTGAACCTCCAGAACTGGGAGCTAAATAAACCTTCACTTTTTATAAAGTACTTAGTTTCAGGTGCTTAATTATAGTAACAACAAATGGACTAATACATCTGGCATTTCAAATCACTGAGGAAAAGAAAATTTGTTAGATAATTTATGTCATACAATTGGCTAGTCAGTGGGGAAAAATAATAATGTTTATTCTTCTTAACCAAATAAATTGCAGATGGATAAAATATTTTTTAAAAAGGAAGTCACAAAATAACTTGGGAGAAAATATAACAGAATATATTTAAATTTAAGTGTGAAATGGCCTTGTAAGAATGTACCAAAACTAAAACACATAAAGGAAACAATTTCTAGTTTTTACCACATAAAAATTAAAACTCTGTCTAGTATAAAACACCATAAATAAAACTGAAAAATAAAATGAAAAAAAAAGGCAGTAGTATGGATGCCAAATGATTAGGATCTTTAATATTAAAAGATCACTTAAAAATCCAGAAGAAAGAGATGGATAGTAAACTCCACAAAGAGAGAGAGAAAGACTGTTTTTGGTAGGGGTGTGTGGCTAATTGGTAAAAAGCAATTATAATATATAGGCAGACCTAGATTAGATCCTCAGCGAAGGAAAGAAGGAAGGAAGGAAGAAGGAGAAAATGAATAATGTTTTAGTCAGCTTTTTCGCTGCTGTGACTCAATGACACCACCAGAACAACTGTAGAGGARGAAAGGTTTATTTAGGGGCTCACAGTTTCAGAGGTCTCAATCCACAGACATCAAGCTCCACTCCTTGGGGCTTGAGGTGAGGCAAGACATCACAGCAGAAGAGTGCGGCAGACAGAAAAAGTTCATGTGATAATCAGAAAGCACAGAGTCTCCACTCTCCAGATACAAAATACATACCCCGTAGCCACACCCCCAATGAGTCACTTCCTCCAGCCACAGCCCACCTGCCTCCAGTTACCACTCAATTAATCCCACCAGGGATTAATTCACTGRTTAGATTAAAGCTATAACCCAATCATTTCTCCTCCAAACCTTCTTTCATTGTCTCACACATGAGCTTTTGGAGTACACCTCACACTCAAACCATAACAAATAAAATATAAAAATAATCTTAAAAACACTTTTCCTTACCAGATTAGAAAAAAATATTAAAAACTGACAATTAGTTATTTGGCAAGAAATCAAGGAAATGAATAGTGTCAAGAGTATTGTAAAAATAGTCACTGCATTTTGGTTAAATTAGTAAATATCATGAAATAATTGAAATGTTCACACATAAACTTGAGTGAAAAACAACTAGAGCTATAGAATGTCTTGTATGATATAAACATGATTTATAAGAACTGTCTGGAAGACTATTCATCAAAGCAACATTAACCTAAGTGTTAAACATCTTTAATGATTTGCCCTACTTTAAAACTTTAAATCTACAATTCCATTCTAAGAATTTTAATTAATGGCTATTAACTTCTCTAGACAGTACAAAAATATTTTTAAAGCAAAACATGAAATATTTTATAGTTCTCATCAAAATTGCTGTTTAACCAGACATAAGTTTGAACATCATTTTACTATTTCAAATAAACTGAAGTATATACTCTTACCATTTCACTAAAATATCATTAGTGTTCCTAAAAAATAACAATTACCATATGCAGAGTGGGGAAATCATTAAAGCTATATAACCACAAGTATTATTCTGCTTTGGAGTTAACTTTTCATTGCACAGATAAAGCAAAAGGCTACCAAATAAAAAGGTATTTATTTTGTGTTTATGATTACCTTTCTCCAGACACTTATTACAGCAGAAAAAAATTATATATTTCTCTGAACTTGTAGACTCAGCAGACAGATATATTTTGAAAAGGTTAAGCTATGTTTAGCCAGATAATCCTCAAGAGATTGATGCCAGAGAATTAAATATTAGGTACTTAAATTAACTTCTTATTTAGTACTTAGGAACAAATTGCCAAGAATTATCATTGTCAAATAGTGCTATTGACTCTCTTGGAAAAAGAAAGTGAGGTCTCCTTGAAGAAAAAAAAAATTTTAGAATTTGAAAGAAACCAGTATTTTTAACACTTTGCATGAATAATAGAAACTGTTATTCCCCAAAATGATACTTAGCTTGCACAGCACTAATGGAAATGACTAGTTTCAGTCTTGAGTCAGTACTACTAGCTATGTCTTGACTTTGTATTCCCAGCTTTAGGCTTTTAAAGGACATTTCAAAGAATGTCCTGCTGAACTATTTCCTACCAGAGATACTTAAACAAGAATTTCCAAAATTCTTCACATATAAATTTTTTTCAAAAAGTTAGCAAGCATTGATTTCATCAATTTAAACTAAATGATTGGCAAACACATCCTAAAAATATATTTTTGCCTAAATAAAAAATAAATATAATAATAACCTTCCTTCAAGAATTCAAAATGAAACTCATTGTGGTTCCAAAACACAGGGAAACCGGTGATTTTAAACCGTTAAAGAATGCACTGGAGTGCTTCAATTTTCACCGAGAGTAAGGTTTAAGGAAATGGGTTCAGGGTATACCATGAAAAATGTAGGTAAGTCACTCAATTTGTGATTGTATAATTAAAATCTTTTAAATATCATTTTCACTAGAATATTACAATGTACTGGAAAAGGCTCTATTTCATATAATATTTAATATTTTAATATTCTTAGAACATGTAATAGGTGGTTTTTCAGGATTTCCACTAGCTCTTCTAAAAGGCAGGAGCTTTTGGAGCATGCGTCTTTCTGGGCAAGTAATATTGCCCCCCATGGGGATGAGAACTGATGCTTTGAGCATGGGGAGGGTGGGATAATGAAAGCTTCTTATTTTTATGTAGAAAGCACAGACACACATTCAGTACTATAAAAAGATACACAGTATGTATAGTGTATTATAATTTAATTGGGAGGGGTGGTTAGGAGAACAAAAAGTCTTGAAAGCCTCTTTAAAAGTTTACAAATGAAAAAAATGGGGGGGTGGTTAAGAAAAATTCAGACAAATCTGGATTCTAATCACTATTCCAAGATAAGAACTTAGGCAAGTAACCTAATACCTTGGAGCCTAAATTTCTTCATTAACCATATGGAAATTGTGAYTTCTTTCTTAAGTTGAAGATTTTGAAAGAAAGCATATGCAAAAGCACATATCACAGTGCTCCAGAAGCTGTTACCACTCAGTCAGGGTTAGCTCCCTTTCCTTTTCTCCTCGTTTGGAGATGCTGTAATATACTCTTCACAAAAGACTAGGCAGATTCCAAGGGGAATTGAGACACAAGGAGAAATGGAATGAACTCCAAGAGGCAATGACTTTTGAATATGATCCTAGACCCCAAGTACATCTAAAGATGGTGAGATTAAGTTCAAAAGACTGGACTCAAGTGCCAAATCTKTAATTTTGTTAATTGTATAAATAGTGCTGAACTGATTAACTTTTATGAGCCTCAATTCCCACATTGGTATTTCAGAGTTCTTATTAAGAATAAATGAGGCCAGGTAGAAAAGCACCACTGAGTTCAGTCTCTGGTACAAGAAGAAGGAGAAGGAGAAGGAGAAGGAGAAGAAGAAGAAGAAGAAGAAGGAGAAGGAGAAGGAGAAGGAGAAGGAGAAGGAGAAGGAGAAGGAGAAGGAGAAGGAGAAGGAGAAG